CAAATGAATTCCCACCAGGATTCCTCATATCACAGGCCCAGAAATACATATGACTGCTATGAAGACTGTCATCACTTATTCTAAGGTTCCCAAGGGAGGCTTTTACACTAAAAGATGACGGGAAGACCTGTCACATGGAGAAAATAATTTCAGATCAATCCAAGGATGATATGATAATTTTTCCCTCAGAAAATAAAATGGATGGCTTGTGCACCTTAATATCCGTAACAAAATTATCTTGTGCCAACGTAGCAAGTTTAGAGTCATTTTCCTTCATCAAAAATATCTCAGCGCGAGCCATATTCAACAGCAAATGGAAAATCACTCTGGATTTCCCTTTTCCAAGCAAAGATTTTACTATAGGCTCTTCCACTGGAGCTGAGGGCGGACCGTCGTTCATGATTTCCTTCGATGTACCATGCGATGCAACAATTGACGAAGTATCACTAGAAGGTTCAGAGTTTTCCTCCTGGATGTTGATAGCATTTACAAATTCCATAATGGCTAGTATAGTAGGCCTACGACAGTAAAAGGATAAGGTAGAGAGTGTGACTGCGACCTGAAATAAAAAAGTGACATATCAATATATGTGTCGAGCTTTAATGTCAAATGTATTAGCGTGTAATCGTTATGTATATTTTACAAAAGGAATAGTTGACCTAGCAAAATTATGACACAAATTAAAAGGGCCAATTGACTAATCCATAGTATAATTGAGTACAGTTGATACCAACTTACATGTTTATCAACATTGGAATAAAGTGGTGAGTTCTGGTCGAAAATAATTATTTGAGCTTTCACAAAACTGTCCAATGCATCAGTAACTCCTATCTGACCAGATTCCAGAGGAGTAACGTCAGAAGGCAGTATACCAGCAACACGCAAAAAACTTGGGGCCTTCAACTCCAAGCTACCTGAATCGGTGGTAATTTGAGAACTCATATACTCCATTTCATCACCTAGTGACTCGGGGCCACCAACTGACTCATTAAGATTCTCAGACACCTCATAAAACTCATCATCTCCTTCATATTGGGTAAGGTTATTACTGGCTTGAGTTAGACTATCAGAACTGTGTAATATTGAAGGTGCATCTGAATTCCTGATGAATGATCTTGCTATGTAACGTGTCTGAGATTTCACCTTGCAGCAAACCAAATCTTCTATCTCCAAAGCTCTAAGGACGGTGCCAATGAAAATATCATCCGATCGAATTGACAGTTCAACCTGCATCAGAATGATTCAAATGATTAACAAGAATGCTTCAACACTTAAAATGCTACATACTGTATATTTGACTATTTCTAACCTGTCCACCAATTGCTCGAAACTCAAGCAAACGTTTTTCTTCCGCAAGAAGCATCTTCATAAAACTCTGATCATGCTAAAAGAAGTATGTGCATGTTCAATGGTTTAGCAGTTATATACTCCACATAACAGTAGGTCTGAAAAGATTACTTACCAGGTTACTGTAACTGAAACTTATCTTCAACTCATCCAGTACACCAGTCAAAAACAATTTCTCTGTCGTTGATGAATCTGTAGAATCACGATTGTCAATTTCAGAGTCTTCTGAATCTGACAAGTTTTCAATCAGACCAGCTATAGGAGTAGTTCCCTGCATATAAATTCAAGGATTCTTCCAATAAGAAACGACTTCAATTGCAAACCATGACACAAACAGTTTTATGTTTAAGATAAAATGTGACAGAATACCGAGGCACGATAAATGGCTCCTTGGAGGTTGGTTTGCCAAGTTGTCCTTGAATTTTCGGAGTCGCAACGCAAAATCAGAGCATTTGGATCTTCCACCACCTAAAAAGGTAAGAGATATGTGAAGCAAACTGCACCACAAACCAAGAAGCTCCACTAAAATGAAAATGAGATATCAGATTATTATTCCTGATGACTACCTTGACGGCGGAGCGCTCACCATCACAAACAGCCAACATGTGTTCCTCATTTCCAAGACAATCAGCAGGAACTTGATATAAATGCTTACCTCGTAGACTAGAACCAAAAATATCACAGGGCAATGTCACCATCATAAAGGTCAACATAAATGTAGACAACGATGTAAAGATACTAGGAAATCATTGGCCTAGAAAAGCCTTGCGCAATGTTTGGTTCCGTTTTCATTCAACTTTAATTCTTTCCCCGAAACAATTCATGTTTGTTAAGGTTTCCAAAAAAAATGTCAAAACAACTTCTAAAGTTTATATCTCCTTCAGATATGATTTGACTGCTATAAAAAATCTGACTGCTACAGTAAAAATTGTCTTCACTAAAACAAAACATCACTTTACTTTTCAAATTCTTCTTTTACAATACATTTTCCCTGACACCTTTAAACATGATTTGACCGCTACATTGTATTTTGTCTCTTAGCAAATTATAAACAAACATTAGTTTCATTATCAAATTATTCCCTCAAAACATATTTCCTCAAAATAAAATGAAAATAACTCCCAAAACGAATCCAAACATTGCCCTTATGTTTAGTAGGTACCTGACATTGAAAAAAACATAAACCTTTATTGTTCCCAGTATTTGAACAGTTTATAGACATTTTGAAGGCTTTTAATTTGGTAACACTATCCAATTAGTTCGCATTTCTCAGACTTTCTGGCATAGGCCTACTCACATCATACCAGTTTTTAAACATTTCCCAAAAAATAGTAATCACTATATCCCTTGCATGTTTAAACTTTTTGCATCCACACATCATACAAACAAACATCTTTATGACTCTGATACTTCAGAACATATACAGCAACACGAGGTATGATATTGAGTAAATCCTATTACGGTAGTACAAAAACCCAAATACCACTTAGACTCCAGTAAATCAGATAAGAGAGTTTCAAGCAGTCATGTCCAAACCTGAAGTATTGTTTATAATTTCTCGACTCTGGATTTTCTAGGACATACAGAAAAGGTCCAACTATACAAAAATATCTCTGCTGCCATACAGCTTCTCTACCTCCTACACCCTGAACAACAAACATGAAATGAAATATATCATGAGGAAAGGCAGAAAATCACAAAATTATCATCCTTCTATTAGGTAACTCGCAAACAAAAGAGCATAAACATACAACCTTCCGTGTAAGCTGATACAGCCAGCCTGCAAAATCAGCTTCATCCCAGGGACAGACAAGATCAGGATGGTCCTCTTGCTTCCCTTGAAAAATCTTAGCTATTTGCATTAAACGATGATAACGAGATGGAGAAAAATGAAACCCCATGGAGGGTACCCGCACAGCAAGTCTTGTTGAGGGGAAAGAGGCAACTGGTGATCTAATCTGAAAAGCCAAAAATGGATTAATAACAACTTGACTGGCTGCCAAATGTTAATACATACCTACTTAAATGCACTACTGAATCCCATATAAGTTTATAGATATCACCTGTTGAAGCTTTACTGATACTCCACACTTGTCAATAACTGGTAGGAAACTGATAAAGCTACGCTTGGATGAAGTATCAGTTCGATCAGGAGAATCTTGGCTCCATCTATAGTCACCATCAACTAAGAAAGCTGATACATCTCTCAAGACAAGATCAAATTGGGAGTAAATGTTCATCTCTTCAGGTGAAGCATATTCAGCGTCATCCTGAACATAATGTTCTCAATGTAAATAGATTGCAACAAAAAGAACTAATCTAACCACTTTAAAGGCAAGGGGAGTAACCTTAGAACGAATCACTAATTTTCCCAAGTCAATCAGAAGTTTAGTAGGGTGGACACTATCAGGATAAAAGTCGGTAGGAATGGTAATTTTGGGTGCCGCAACATCCAAATCCAAGAAAAACCTGAAGCAAGTGCACATTGACAATTAGTGTACATATACAAGTGAACAACTCAATAATATATTGCAGACTCAAAAGAATTACATTAGAACACAAAATATGTTTTCAGTATTCCCCAGAACCATTCCAACACAAAAATTATGTAAATAAAATAGGTAGTATGTTTGACCACATGGGCTGAAACACACACACACACACACACACACACACACACACACACACTATATATATATATATATATATATATATATATATATATATATATATATATATATATATATATATATATATATATATATATATATATATATACATATATATATACATATATATATATATATATACATATATATATACATATATATATATACATATATATATATATATATGTATATGTATATATATACACATATATATGTATACACATATATATATATACACATATATATATATACAAATATATATATATACACATATATATATATATATATATATATGTCTGTGTGTGTAAGCAGTATAATATATGTATATATATATATATAGATCTCACATACAAGGATTCACATTTAGAAGGTACAGATCTTCTAATCCATTCAATAATTGTAACATTCATACAACGCAATCAGTCCCACTTACAAATAACAAAAAATTAAAAATAAAACAAGAGCTGTCAACAAAGCCTTTTAGTTACATAGCTTGATAGGTGGCAGCAAATCAACTCAAGCAAAATCAAGGTTCCTATGAAAGCCTTTTAGAGTTATCTTGATAATAATTATCCAACACATTGTTTTGTCCTCCAGAGATTTATGGTAAAATGCTTATTGAACAATATTGGTCTGTTTAGTGACTTTGGAGGAATATCCTCAAAGTTAAGGACACACAAGATCTACAGCATACTAACAAAAATCTGCATCACCATCAATTCATAATTAATTTACAGCGGCTATCTCGTAATTTTAAAATGGTGAAACGAACCTGGCCCGGTCCTTCAATACCCTGTCCACTTGTTTGGCTGCTGTGCGCTTTACCTCGTCAATGGTCATCTAAAACAACAATATATTGAGATGAAACACCAGAAAGAGATATTATGCATATCTTTGAGGCAAGGAAAAGAGTAAGCAATGAGAAATTAACAATTCGTATTATTGACACATAACCAAGGAGAACCAAACAATTGTCAAATTCACTGAAGTTTCAGGGCAAATAAGATATAGCTACAGCATTCATAATATCTTTCAGCAGTATTCGGTGATTTTCGGTCATAAAGTATCTTCAGCAATGTGCAAGGCATTCTAGTACTATTATAAGAAGCCTCCTGGGTGTTTTCTCCACACCCAAAAAAAAACAATCAGACAGCGTCAAACATGGACAATGGTTCCAGTCGCAAGAAGTCGGAAATAGTTAAATGCATTAGATCTGAAGAGAACAAAAGCTGTTTTTGCAACTGGTAAGTTGGCGGAAGAAGTCAGAAATCATGTCTTTCTGGTACAATGAAAAACAAAATATTCTTCATTTTAATTTTTAGGACGGAAGGATCATATTTTGGAAGTGAAAAAAATATATTAGCACAAATAATGTGTTTTTTCCAATTCATTTTCATGAATCATGACTATCATCAAAGTGTTATGTTTAAATGATATTTGGGATCTTTTCATCAAAGCATAAGTTCAATGAAAGATCAAGGAAAGATAGTGGAACTTGTCAACTTCAAGAACAGTAATAATGATTAGAGTAAATCTCAACCTACATTATAAGTGGAAGAAACAGTGATTCACTATAGTAGCATTAAATTGAACAATGATAGGTGTCATCGATGTATTAGAACCATAAAATGTTCTACTTGCTTAAAACAATTAATCAATGAAAGCATCATTTGATACAGGACTGAGACAGCTGATGGCCAGTAAAGCAGAGTCTACACAGTTTCCAAATAATTGGAGAGGTTCTGGGTTCGATCTCAGGTGTGTGAGTGCTTGTGTTTTGAGGTCATTTATAAGGTTACTTTCGAAAAACAAATAGAAAAGAGAGAATGTTTATGATCTGCTTTTCTTTGCCTTCGAAATGTGAAGAACTCTTCTAGCTATTATACCTCACAACAAAGACGCATAATTAGAAGTTTTGGGTGCTAAATATGTTGTTAATCTCCAAACAGAATATTACAGACAGTTATATTAGCATATGAATCCCTTACCAACCACTTGCTCCTCAATCCAAACCTATGTTTTTAATAAAGGAAAAACTGCATACACCTGACAATGAAGCGAACCAAATTTTGTAGCACATCAAAGGTACAAACTTGCATTTTGGAAGACGCTTCGCGAACTAAAGTCTGACTGAAAGGAAAGTACAAACCCGGGGGGAAAAAGAAAAAAAAAGAAAAAAAGAAAAGCATCCCTTACCAACCCTAAGCCCTTACTCTCCAATCCCAACCCACATTTATTATAAAAGGAAAAACTATTACATCAAAAAGCTCCCATTTGAGGAATACCTAAAATACAAAAGAACAAAATTGCAAACACCAAATGAAGTAAACCATATTTTGCAGCACATCAAAGGTGAAGTACAAACCTGCACTGCGGAAGCGGTTTCACGAACTAAAGTCTGACTGACAGTAGGACTACTTTGAAAGAAGTCAATGATTTGATGGATGGAATCCTTTAAATACTGAACCAAGAACAGAAGTATTCATCTTGATAAATTGAAAACCAATTTTTACTAGATAAATCATAACAACAAAGTGATTTCTTACTGTCACATAACATGGTGAAGCTTTAGCAACCACGCTCCAGTCTACATCCGCATCAAGAGGCTTATAGCAGAAGACAGCAACTAATGAATCAGAAGCACTTTCACTCTGCATAGAAAATTAACTCGAATGTTACAATGTTACTGAACTGTTGACTGATATAGACAGTTGATAATCCATAAGACCGTCAGAAAATGGCAGGAGAGAGTATTGTACCTCAGCAAGAAGACCATTTGGGGACAATAATCTGTACGATCCCAATTTTATGTTGACAATTTTGGATTCTGAATAAAGTTTTATCCAACACTCAAGATTATCACAAGATAAGTCAGCAAGGCACTCTTGAGAGTCAGTTAGCTTTGATGCATTATGTTTCATGTGAAACTTCAGTGACATATATGGCAAGTCTCCCTTGTCATGGGTCGATAATTGTTCATCGTCGCCTTCCTTATAACCAATAATAGCATTCAACCTCTTCCAATCTTCCTCAGATAGAGTCCCAGGTTCATTTCCATCTTTCACAGGTTCGCTGGTCCTGCATAGTATGGGGAATCAACATGTCTTATGAATATATGTTAAGCTCATGAAGAGATTGGGAGGGTAAAAACATGAGTATAAATGTAGACTAACCCTCCAAATGGCCACCATGATTTTTGTGGTTTTTGTTTTTTTATGTAGAGTTCTGATCCAACCGATTGTTCTACAAATTTGTGGGCCAACATCCTGTCGCAAGGAATTAATGTTGTGACTACAAGTATAGAGGATAAAAGACGAAAGTATATCAATCAGAAATTAAAATCTTGCTAGCAGTAAGGTCAATCCATTAACTATCGAACATACAATTGAATTATGTCTATAACAAAATATTAGAAGTTAACTGAAGACATAAAACAACCTGCTGCTTCACTCCCCTGAAAACATTTTTGTCAGTTATGACAAAACAATGTCAGCAATGAAAATTTTAAGGAACAGAAGAAAAGAACACAGGTGGAGCACCTCTGCACAAAGAAAACAAGATACTTCCATAATTACAGAGGACGCAAATAGGAAGCCCACTTCAGCAGGCTGGTTGTATAAAAGCTCCAAGGTAGTGGAGAATAAGAAATTCTATCAAAATGACGGTTCACAAATGAAATTTGTTCATTAAACTCCACCCACTTAAAACAAAATGAGAAACACACACACACACGCGCGCATTATTGGCATGATAAATATAAGCTACGCCTCACCAAGTTCCATAAATGACATATCGGGCATATACTTAAAATCAACTCATTAACCGACACAAGTTATATACCTCCACTGAATAATGACCTCAATATCAAGTTCCCGATCAAGTTCCTCTATGTCTTCATTGTCATCAACCACAGAGCGGTCAAGATCTGATTTGAGCAACGCAGCATAAAGAGAGATGTATTTCTTACGTAATCTTGCATATCGCAAAACTTGCTCCCACGACATTTTTCCACTGGCGAGTAAGACAAGATAGAGGGAGATAAGCATGTAAAAAGTTCAGAAAAAGGAACATATACAAAGAGAGGGGTAATAATGAGAAAATACAACCCATCAAATCCAGGAAAACTATCAGGAAAGTTTCAGAACTCAAATTAAAGGTTTACTCAAGCTTAAAAAAGTGAACAGTGAGACTAAAGTTGATAACTCCCAAGAGAAAAAAAGAGAGAGACAGTGTAAGAAGTAAATATAATTAACTTCCACTCATCCTTTCATTTTTTTAAATAGAACTTCAGCATATTAATGCAGCAGACGGTAATCTGAAAGGAAACCAAGACTGGAACAGTAGGAAGAATCTCCTCGTAGCCATAACTAAGTAAATATCTAGATATAGGCTGTACCCACCAGATATAAACAACACCATCCAAAAATATCCCACTTGAAATTGCAGAGCATATGTGTTGTCATACAAAAGTCCGCTGATCCTTACAATGTGCTATTTCGCTCCAACATATGAGTTGGAGCTTTTAAATGTTAATGATTCTTCTCACTAACAGGTTACCCTTTTAGATGGGTAGTCACTCTACACTACATAAACTAAACTGTCTTCCAAACAATTTTACCATATTTAACATCCTGAGGAACTTTATATTACATTTCCTAGCTAGCTGATGATTTGACTTATAAGGGTACCTGACCTACTTGAAATTTTGTGAGACTTTGTGTGTCCATCTTTACTAGAATGTTAACCAAGCTCTGAACTTCAGCATAAATTCTAACCTATCTCATTTCATAGAATCCCAAAATACTCATAATCAACAAAACGCCTACATCAAAATAACTAGGTTGGAACCTGGCTTTCTTCATTTGATCTGAAATTGCTCTGCCTGCATACTTCCACCAAGATTTCGGATCAGTTTTAACAGAAACCCGTGGGCGATAGTGAGCATATTTTAGTCTCTGGTTAAAGGCTGTGAAATTATCAGCTAATTTTAACAAATCTCGATAACCATTCTGCATAATATACAAAAGACTCGGTGTGAGGATAACGTTTTACATGGCACAGCAGGTTGGAGGAAAACTAGATGAGGAGCCAATACTAACCTTTGACAAGCACAGAATCACATCATCAAGATTTACTGCAGCTTTCTGTAGTGGTTGACCTTTGCTTCCAGATGCATCTGGCCGATCTTTTGAATACTTTGCATTCCCACTTACTGGTTGCAAAACATAAGAGTGCGACTCAAGCTTACCAGTTGCAGGTTTCCCACTTTCTGTACCATATTTGAAAATCTAAAACTTATGCATTAGGTAGAAGTTTTAAAAAATACATGGAACAAAGTGTTCACCAAATCAATATTAAAATACCTGTCCCCACTCAGATGGTAGCAAATCCTCCCACGGTTTTTTGACATACCAAGGACTGATATCAGAATCCAAATAAAGAGCCATTCGATCAAGTTCCACCGACTAAAAATTGTACAAAACAATCATGTCAAAGATAGAAAAGACTATAATAGGGGAAACTAAATACAGCATTTCTTTTTCTTTTGATTAAAAATGCATCAATAACAACAAAGTCATCGTGAGAAAACGGGTCACTCAACTGCTATACTCTGATATATGCTTTAACAAACCAGTGGGACCACTTTTGTTTTTTAGATTAAATCCTGTTACAAATTGGGAAGTTGGGGAGGGGCAGGATTTGCACTCTACATCTTTATCCTAGTGGTAAATGCTAGGTACCAGCTCTCCTAATGAAGATTGGACAAACCAATTGGCTACTTCATAGACTTGGAAGAAACAGTAGGTCCCACTACTCAATCGTAGGACAGTTTTAATGTTATATACTAACATCATAGTGAAAGCCTAACCTGAAGTTCTGTAAACTGTTCATAAGAATATAAGCAAGATATAAGCCTTATAAATCATGCAATCACGGGGGAAACAGCATGATTGCATCATCTTACAAATGGGTTTCTAGTCATGGTATCCAAATTATCCTAAGAGTGACATCTAAGTAGTCCAAAGTCCAAATCATTTTGTGTAATTAATTGTAACGATTTTATCACAATCTTAAACTCATTTAAATTGGACAAACATGTAACTGAAACAGACATAGATAAACAAGAGCTCACATATAATAACAAAAATCTCTAAAAGTCAAACCAACTAGAATGGTTTGGCTGAACCCACTTGTCAAGTAAATGGCTACCCATGCTCTTGACATTCCTACATGTGACTATTTAAAATAAATTGTATAAACTATTCAACATAAGCACTGATATCAATCACGTAAACTTATATACAAGCATGGTGTATCATTATTGACATAGTAATATCTATACTGATCTCTACTTCCAATCACAATTAATTGCTCTGAAAACAAAAATATTTTAGATTTAGTTAATAATGGCTGGTTAACTGGATTCAAACTGAATTAAATCTTATGACAACTAAACCATCCACACAAAAACTAAAAATTAAGTAATTACTATAACTTAGCAACTGGGAGTCCACTATATGGTACAACCTGATCGATCTGCCAAGTATAGTATTTTTAAATTAATTCATCTATGTTCCACTCTGTAAACCGGATTGTGCTCAACTCCAAAACTTTTATACCTAACCTGCAAGGTTTCTGCAGGATTTTCAATTCCTGGAATTGTGAACCTATGAACCCAGTCAACAATGTATATTTTAAATGATAAGGCTTATTACTCTAGGTTCATTTCATCTGTCCATCAGTCTTTGTAGTATTATGATCATTGGAAAATTAGTAATACGATAAAGTGAAAATTTACGATTTTATGCTCACGGAAGTATCCTGAACACAATGCATTCTTAAACAGTACCAGCTTACTAGCTAATCAAGTTTTCATGTCTACATCATAAACCTAAGTCTATTTACAACGGTTCACTGGCAACAACATAACAGCAAACAAAAATATTTCAATAACAGTTTAAATTTTAAAAGCCACATTAAGTCAAAATAGTTGGGAAAACAAATAATTTGTTTTAAGGTTTTGAGAGTATTTGAACCTTCTGGATTCGCTCCAATGCCCCTCCAGTTATAAAAGTCTCCTCCCCTTTATCATCAACTGTGAATGCTGAAAGTTTATCTAGGGTCACACCAACTGCAAATGGATGGCCTGGATTACTGGAAAGAATGTGTTGCATGAGATTGATACAAGGATAGAGAAAAAATGAACTTAACGCATACACATAGAAGACGTGGGAGTCATAAAATAAATAGGAAAGATACAGAGAGTATGGGGGAGTCAAAGCATCAAAAAACTCTGTACCTCTCAAGATCCTCGTATCTGATGTGAACGTTTGATATAGAAAGCTTTAAATTCCCAATCACCGTATTGATTAAAGATCCAAGCCAAGACTTATTCTTAGAGAAAGAATAAACAAGCAAATAAAAGTTGGTCAAAATCTTGATCAAAATATACTTCAACAAAACCTCTACGATGAGTATATATGGGTTTAGAAACATGATGATCATCAGCTCTGTATCAACAACCAAGACTAATTCAATATGGAGTTATGAATGTATATAATACTAGTCCATGTCACCTGCGAATGAGAAGGACAAACAACAACAAAAAACAAAATATCTGAAGGAAATAGTCCAGATATGAATCAGGAGCAATGTTCCCCTCAGTTGAGGTGGATTGTTTGTAACTTAAGTGGCCAACCATCTACTTCAATTGGAGGGAGAAAAAAGATTGAAGAAAACGGAGTTCCATATGCTCAAAGAATCTGTATGATGGGTGTCATTTTGGTGGACTTGAAATCCTAAAGCCAAATATGGGGTTCTAGTGATGAATCTGAATAAAAAAAAAAAAAAAAAAAAAAAAAACAATTTGTTTGAAATTTTGACCATTTATAGACCACTTGTTCGAGTTAGAGATGTCAGTCCAGATATCAACAGTGTATAGTTGCATATTAAATCCACATGAGTACAAAGAAGTGTGAGGTCAAGAAAAAATACAATCTTATTTGTGTTCAAAGATATAGTCTATATACTGAAATATACATAATTTGTCTAGCTATAAAGTTTATAATATATGTAAAATTTACGATTCTACGTTACAATTTATTGTTCCAATTTTACAACTCCTTGTTAGTTTTACTCAATATATGGAGCTTAACCACCTTGGTGTGTATATGGTTAGCAAGGGCAAATCTTACAAAATGAGGAGTTTGTAGGAAGTGGCAATGGTGGCACGTAGTAGATAATTAGATATGGGAAAACCAGTAGCTGAGAGAGCAGGGCAAATGAAAAGAGAAGAAAACAAAAGAATTTATTTTATTGCCTCTCCCTTTTGTTATTTGATTATGACTAATTATCTTACTTTAATCAAGTTAGTTAAACTAATGGTGACTATATCATTAGTATCTTATTTGTATTAATTTGAAAGAATTTCCAGAAATAACATTTGGTTCGTCCACAAAAAATTTGAACCTATTAGGTGTAGCGGCATAGAAAATCCAAATGATTTTTCATCACAACAATCACCATCCAAAACTCGAACAGAAAAGGGATAGGGTGTACAATGTAAAATGGGTGGGAGTTTAAGTGATCTTATGCTATTTTGATATTTTATTACATTCTTATATTATCCATGTACTATATCTACCATCATAATCATATCATACTGCGATCAACTACGGTATGATATAAGTTTTTTGACATATTGTACTGTGATGTATTAATTATTGCACTATAATTCTAATGTACACGTATTACAATATTCAGCAACTGTTGGCATCCCTAACTTGAGGGCTGAACACAAACCAAATTCTATACATTATCTTTAGTTTGCAATTCATGACTCAGGCAGTAGCCAGCAACTAGAGAGATTTCCTCTATATTGCTATTTACTTGTGAGTACGCAACACTAGATGTCAAGATGGTAGAAGAGACTGGATAAAGAAAATTTAAAAGCATGCTATGCAACTTACTTGCTGAAATTCAAGTACTTAGCTACTTACAAGATTAGTTAACTCAAGATTAATACAACATACGTCTTAATCAAAAATCTATAAGCACTGGGAATGGTGAATTAGCAATTGAATTTGGTATATGTGCTGAAAAATACCAGGACATACCATTTCTGTATTCAGAATTTGTTGAGCTTCCAGCAGCTTCATTTCCATTTCCTGCAAAATATGTTTTAATTAAAAATACTTGAACAGCAAAAAAATGGTCAATACAGAATCAAAAGACAATCTTACTTGTATCCGGCTCTTCTTAACTTCTTGTACAGCATCTTCACTAGATCCCTCAACCTGGGTTGCAGGCTCAGCTAATAAAAAAATACGATCCAGGTAAACCAAAACAGGATCTTGGCCAAGCCTGCTCCATGGAACCTGTGATTGACGGAGCAGAAGTGATTACATAAACATGAAAAAGGTGTCTGACAGTCTTGTTCAGTTCACCTTATATTAACACTGGATAGACAAAAGATGCATAACAAATTAAATGTGGCACAGTAACAATGTAATAGAATTCTCATGATTGATATCACTCTACGTATAATTGATCAAAACTACTTATGTCATGGCCGAACCGGGACCGCAAGCTCTCGGGAACATGCCAAAAATCCGAAAGGCCAAAAAATACAGTCCATTTGGGGCCAGAATTGGACGAGTTTCCCAACTGACATACAAATATACAATCCAGATACAGCTGACTGTTAACAAGTATTCTCTTCCATCTATGATATAAGCAAGATAACTCAATATAAGATCAAAAAGGCTTAGCTAACTAAGAGACTGCAGTTCATAAAAACATATGTGAGGGCCAACTTTAGCAATAAAATGTGTTAACCCATGAAAGTAAGTTATGACTTCTACAGATAAGAAAATCCATCCACCGAGCCACGAACCTTAAGCTTCACTGATCCAAGAAAACCTGCCTTAACCTTCACAGGTAACTTCAATGCATTAAGTGCCTCCGGTTTCAGTTGCATATTTGATAGTTCAACATCACCTGTTGAACATTCCAAGCATTAAGTACCAGCATAGTTAAATGCCCAAGGCTCAAACTGCATGTTTTCTAATAATAATTGAATATATATGCAAAATAACAGAAAATAACATGCATTTTAACACTTAATAACCTCAACAGTTTTGTCTTAGTTTCAGCATTTAACCATCAGAATTCAATAATGTCAGCAAATCTCAAGAATGTTTTAGAAATATTTCAGCAATTTACAATTGATTTAAGAGAACTAAAACATTCATAACAACACAACAAAAGGCATAGGGTTTCCGTCAGTTAATTACAATTAAATATGCGCACTGCCTCACGGTGCCGTTATCCCCAATTAGAAGAGATATTTATTCACGCTGGCAAAGCTGCGAAGAGTTATCTAGTTTTCTCCACAAAACCAAATGTGGACTTCCAGATCTGGATGCGGCAAGTTCGGACACAACTATAGCGAATAAGATCATTTTGGGGGTAAAATGGTCACTTTCTACCATGGAACATTCTTCTTGTCCACACTATATATCCTACTTGTTCGACCAACCATCAAATCGTATTTCCAAGTAGCAGAGCATATAAACATATTACAATTACTTCAATTTCATTATCCCGGATATCCTGAGTACCTGCTTACTTCTCCTAAGAAAATAACAGGAGAACTAGAAACAATGATCATTGGACAAATCATAGCTTGGAAGCATACTGTTGGTAGACGAACAAAAGTCCGAACGAAATGAAGAAGCTACGCTCATCACATGATTCAAGCAGCAAGACGGTAGTAGTAAACAGTTGATGCCGGATTATCATCAATTTGCAACAGAATTAAACAATTTCATAGAGGAATTCAATCTCAAATACACAATCCATGGAAAAACAAAATGAATAATTAATGACCTTGCCAGACACTGATCTTGAGGGCTTCTTTGTTGAGTCCTCTAACATAGTTCCCCAAATATCTCTGCAACAAATAAGCAACCTGATCTTCCAACATCTTCTCAAATCGTCTTCCGCTCCGAAATCAATCAACTCTGCGATTTCACATAGAAAGAGAAAGAGATATTTCTTGTTCGACAGTTGTTAAAAAAGAAGCAAGTCGGTGTGTAGAAGAGAGAGGAAAATCGTGCAAGTTTCATTTCTTTTTCTTTTTCTTTTTGTTTTCTACAAAGGCCACGTCGTTTCAAATTAAGAAGAATTCTGCGTTTATTGATTTGTGAGAGAGGGTTTATTGCTCTCAGCATTAACTTGAGTAGTGTACAAGAAAGACACTGATGACACGTGCCTGCCTTCGTTTTTCCCCATTTTCTTCTCTCTACGAGACTAAGATATTTTTACACAAATACACGGCCCCACCATATTTCAATAATGCCTATTTTTTTAATATTATTATTAATTGCACCCCTAATTGTGGGGTGTGTTTTCTTAATTACCAAATACCCCTCCTATATTTTTTGTTCAAACTTACAAAAATATAAAACATTAGTTCTATAAGGATTTTTGTACAATTACAATCTTACCCCACATGTGTTCTATGAAAAATACAAGTGTAGTAATTATAAATATTCTGGTCAAAATAAGAAATATAAAGTCATTATCTCCTTCATTTTTTTCCCAACATAACTCATCCTGCAAGTAGTACTTCAATGTTTTTTTAAGCAATTGTTTAGCTCATTTTAATATGTTATTAACTTGAGCATTTTTTTTTGTAGGTTATAGTGTTCGATCATTTTTTGTAAGTTGAATCTATTATCTAGACCTGTTTAAATATGTTGGGGGTTTGACTTACATTGAGAAAAAAAATTACCCTTATTTGATATCCTATTTTGAGATACTTTGGTTCATTACAAAAAATTAGACACTCAGTTACTAATGCAGTTTGATTGAGATGAAAAAAATGAAAAAATAAAGGTAAAAAACAAGGCACTTACACAATATATATAGCCAACATAGGGGTAAAATGTTCAAAAAAAATGCAAAGGCTATAATAAATGTTGATAACAAAAAAATTCAAACATGTGAAATCTTCATATTTAAGTGAATCAAATGATGAGTGGGCATTTGGTACTTTCGTAATTAAAGGGTGTGTTTGAAAGCACACCACATAATTTAGGGATGCAACTTTCCCTTATTAATATGATAAGACACTCCCTCGGGTTTAATGTAGGCAGCCAATATTTGCAATCTCAAAATTTCTAAGGGTAAGATCTTACTTTATGAAAGATCAAAATATAAATAAATTTACTCAGAGCAAGACTGAAAATTACAAATATCACCACAATATTAATTATGATATTATTAATTCAAGTTAGGCATAATTGCTCTTGCAAGACCAAAAAAAATTGAAAAACGAGAGGGAACTCATTCCACCAACAAAACTCAGCATCTTCTTCTTCACACTCATTCTACACATTTTCTTCAAAAAAACACTTTCATATTCTCCAAAATCCCTTATCACACAAAACCCTCAAATCTTACTAAAACTTACAAATGAGGACATTATGGACACACAAGACATCAATATGGGTGATTCTAAGGTCGACGAACACAATGGGGTAAGAAATATTGTATTTTTTAGCTTTGTGATCGTTTTTCTCGTTTTTCGATAATAATTTCCCGTACTCAAAAATTCGACGTTTACAGATCGATATTTAGCACAAAAAATAACAGAAGCGAGTCGAATTTGTCATCCAAATCAACATTACAATGTGTCAATTGTTTTTCGAAAAAATCGACGCCATCATGTCGTTTATGTTGCAAAAAATCGACACATTGATGTCGAATTTAGGTTGTTCCAATTTTTTTTAACAAATTTTCGGTTTTTCTTGCAGACTTTTGTGCCTAGCGCGATTAGTGGAGCTAATGTATGTAGGGAATTAGCTTTGAATTATGAACATGAATTTACCACCCATGAGGAGTTTGCAACAAGGGACAATTTAGTTATATGGGTGCGCGAAGTTGGTAACCGACTAGGAATGATAATGGTAGTGAAGTCGTCAAACCCGGGGAAAAATAAACGTAGAAGGTCCTACGTGGTACTTGTATGCGAGCTTGCGGGAGTGTATCGTGGTAATAAGGTACCCGGTCAAGACGACAAAGGAAAGGGAAAAAAGGCAAACAAAGTCAAAGAAATGTGAGTGTCCATTTGAGTTGAAGAGCATAAAAATGGGCAAGTTTCATTTCTTTTTCTTTTCTACCAAGGCCACGTCGTTTCCAATTAAGAATTCTGCGTTTATTGTGAGGGGGGTTTATTGCTCGCAGCAGTAACTTGAGTAGTGTTCAAGACACTGTTGACACGTGCCTACCTTCGTTTTTCCCCCTTTTCTTCTCTCTACAAGACTAACTAGATTTTTTTCCAGATTCACGGTCCCAACATAATTCAATAATGCCTTTTTTTTTTAGTATTATTAATAGGCCAAAGTACTGGGATGTTTGGTTATGTTTCCAATCAAAATTTCTAGTTTTTAAAATTCTGATGGAAAAAGTAGTTTATTGGTTTTTGTGTAGAAAATGCGAATATGTTTGGATGAAGGGGTATTTTTAGTTTTATGTAGGTGTAGAAATGGGAATATGTTTAGTTGTGGTGAATTTTCTCTACGAAAGTACGTGCAAAATTAGAATATACCGATTGAGGATGATGATAGTGATTATTATTGTTATTATTATTATTATTATTATTATTATTATTATTATTATTATTATTATTATTATATTATTATTATTATTATTATTATTATTATTATTATTATTATTATTATTATTATTATTATTATTATTATTATTATTATTATTATTATTATTATTATTATTATTATTATTATTAGAAGAAGAAGAAGAAGAAGAAGAAAGAGAAGTTGGGAGGAGAGAGAGTGTACATATTAATGAGGAGAGAGAAATGAGAGAAGAGAGAGTGTAAATATTAATGAGGAGTGATTGATAGAAGGAGAGATAAATGAGTTAGTGGAATAAAATATATATGTTAGTTAGTAGGTTTGAAAATTGAAAAAAATATGAATAGTGAATTTCCAATAGAATTTTGAGAAGAAAAAATAGGATTTCCTCCATAAAATTATCAAACAAACTTGATCTCAGTTTTATGAATAGTATAAAACAGGAAATTAATTTTGGAAATAGAAACAAACATCCCCTATATTTTCCACCTCTGAATTAGGGGTGGTCGCAAACACATCCTTCAATTACGAAATATGTCATACCTCATATATTTTTTGGTCAAACTTACAAAAATATAAAAACATTAGTTTTGTAAGATTTTCTTGTGTAAATTACAATCTTACCCCCACATGTATTGTATGAAAAATATATGTGATTTTTTGTAAAAGTCATTATCTCCTTCATGTTTCCCCAACATAACTCAGTACTTGAGCATATTTTTTTATAGGTTATAATGTCGAATCCTTTTTTTTAATTTAAATTCATCATGAAGATATGTTTAAAGAGTTTAATATGTTGGGGGTTTGACTTATATAGATAGAAATTTTGACCCTGATTTAATATCTTATTTTGAGATTCTTGGTTAATTAAAAAAATTAGGTATTCAATTATTAATGCGCTTTGATTAGGATTGTCATATGAAATTGAGTTCACGGTCAAAACTACAGCTGAACATTGTAGTGAAATTAAAAAGAAAAAATTAGCAACAACGAACTAATTTCAAATGAAAAA